CAAGGATCTCGTTGGAAAAAGGCTAAATCCCAAGGTCAATATTCGTTCCGCTCTCCCCCGAGTATTGGCTCGACACTAGTAACATAGAAGGATAATCAATAAATCTGACGGATAGATCGGAAAGTGATTTTTATTTTGGTTAATTCTTTGTCACAATGTTGCTTATATACCGTGTTACCTGCTATGTTAAAAGATAACTATCTCTTTCCCATGTGGGATTTGGGTATAGTTCTGCGAGTATGTGATAAATCTATTGAATTTTGAATAGCCATATCCACCACATATAAGCCTACAATCTTCAACTGCCACCGTAGTAGTTAATGGCTCGAGAACCTGCAGAGAGGTCGTGTTTCGCTCTGTTCGATTTACGTTGCATATAGTTCTCTTAATACAGTTCCGATAAAATGGTTATTTAGTGGTCATACTCCAAATTCCATCACGACCTCCAGATTCTTGTCTTTAACAGTTTTCGTCCTCTTTTCACCAAGAATCGTTGTAATGAAAAAAGTATATCAGGGTACGAAAAGAGAAGTGGCATTATACCAACAACCAGCCCAACTTACTTTACACCAGAAAACATTTTGTTTGTGAATCCTCAAGTTAGAGTTTGGGTCCATCATTTCACCGACAATTAACTACCAAAAAAGGATAACTTCGAAATAATGTTGGTGATTGTCGGTGAAATGATTGTCGATAAAATGATTGCCTCCTCCCTATTTATTGTTGTTTTTTTTGTCAATAGCTGGATTATTAATAACCCTTGACGTTAACGACATAGTTTGAGTTAAGAAAATTTTCAAGTGGTCAACACTTATTGTATTACATCGCACATGACTAAAAGAAAATAGTATCCGGCAAGATTATATGTATTGTGTAGGTTAATTTTGCGTAAGAGCGATGGGCGGTACGTGACAAGAACGACGTTTTTAAGCATTAGAAATAGAGACTTGGTGTTAATTCTAGCGTTGCTTCGAAAGTGAACGCGCATAACGTTCAATTCAATCCGAATTCCCCGCCATACTTCCGATAGAAGAAAAAGATCGCTGAACAAGCGGTTAATTGAACAGTAACTTAAATTTTAGACAATAAATCATTTTATCTTTTGTGTATATTTAGTCATTGGTATACATCCAAAAATACATTCTACTGTCTATCGCGTACTGCTAAATACACCAACAATACTCGTAATAAATACTCAAATTTATTTCTTAACCAATAATAGTCTCAAATGATACTCCCAACAGTTCCGTTATTCGCTGCCGGTGCCAAATCCAAAATCTTTGCCATAATATTGTACACTTCAACATTTCGAAATTCGTTCATAATATTTCCTTGCCCCGTTCTTTGCTTGTACAGCTCGAATGTCGGACCCTGAGCCATAAATATCGCTCTCATCTCTTCTGACAAATTATCATATCCGTGGGTGCCGTTACTCACGATTCTATTCCAAAACCCGGTACTGGTGAGTACATATCCAACTTCAGGGACACATACTATCGGAGCAATGCGATCGGATTTAGAATAATGAAATCGAGGCGGAACGTCGTCTTTGAGGTAGCAATCGAACGGTTCGTTGTAGGAGACTTTTTGAAGTTTGGTGATAATGTCGGCTTGCGAGTCGAGATTTTTAGGACGAATGCCGGCTAGCGGGAAGCCTTCGAGAGGGGAGACGAGGTCTTCGAAATCGGGTAGTGATTGTTTAAGAAGTTTGTCGAGATATATGTAGGATGAAGCGTTTATCGATGCCATGCCGTGATCAGAGACCTTTTGTTAAAAGTGAGGGCGAGTTAGGATATTGGAGCAACATCATAAACCTCGAATCCCATTCGAGACAATAATCAGACACCCACAACAACTCTATGCTAAACACACTTACAACAATAAAATCAACAATCTCGGTCAGATTCCTTTCCTCCAATCCACTAATCATGTCTCCAATCATTCCATCCACCTGGATCAATGCATCATCAACTTCCTTCGACACGGGGCCAAATCTATGCCCATAGAAATCGACCTGATTCGCATACACAGCAATCAAGCTAGCTCTGTCGTCCTCCTCGTCCACCCATTTCAAGAGTTGATCTACTTTATCTCCCAGCGTCCACGAAGCATTAAACGGGATTTGGTACGTCGGTCGCGTTTGTTTAATTTCGGCAAATGAGCCAACCCACATGAGAACAGCCGATTTTTGTCCTTGTAATTCGGCAGTGACCCAGATCGGCTCGCCGCCCCACCAAAACGAGTCGAACGAGCGCTTTGGGTCTGTGTAGTAGAAATCACGATCGTGAAGAGGGTCGTAAAAGTCGTTACCGACTATTCCGTGTGCTTCAGGATAGAGGCCGGTGACGAGTGTGTAGTGGTTTGGGAAAGTGACCGACTTTTTGAAATGTGGAAAAGATCGGCTTGTTAGATAAGGTGGGTATGTGTGATATATAATTAGATAGTATCTAACAATCAATTACTTACTGGGAAAGACGGTAGCATGTACTTGGCTCCTACACCTTTTTCGGCTGTGAAAGTGTAATATTAGGTTAGAAAAGTATTCTTCACCCTGTTCGTTCTCCTACTGAGACCCACCAATAATTCTACTCCCTTTATTTTCTTACTCGCTCCAATTACAATATACATGTAAAATTTTTTTTTCAACCAACCTAACTTGTTAATATTAGGAGTTAGACCTCTCTTCAAGTAATCATTCCTAAATCCGTCTAAGGATACAATGATGAGTGTCTTGTTGAAACCATGAGTTCCATTGAAGTACGGAAGAGGCTGTTGTTGCAATACATCTGGACCGCGGACAAGGTATGATATGAAGCATACGAAAGCGATAAGTGCGGCTATACTCGCACATATCTTGACCACTACTTGTTTTAATATTCTATCCTATTCGCAAAAAAAAAAATAGATTAGCTTGTGAGGGGGCGTTGTGATTAATAACCAAAAATTTTTTTATGCTATGCAAAGGACAATTTTATAACGAGCTAGGTAAATGCATGCCAACAAAAAGTGCATGATGAAATGGACAGAGTTATTTTTTTTTTACCTCTTCTGAAGAGTGTCTGTTATTATTGTTATCAAGCAACGCAGCTCTCTCTTCGTTTTCTATGGAATTACTCATATTGATGAGATTGATAGAAAGAGAGGAGCTAATCCGAGATAGTATGTGTACAATGGATATATTTATTGTTGCCCATTGTTAATAAACGAATAAAAGTCAAATTGTATACAATCACAAAGCATCGGTTGACTATGCACAGATTATGCAAAGTTTGTTTTTGATGAACGAAAATAGTTACTGTATTCAAAATGTCAGGTGACTTGACTTTAAAGTTTCTTTTGTTGATGGTACTATCCGCCTTTTAAGGAAATTATACTCTTGGCTGTTCTAAATTTAGCAATTAGAATGGCCGAGACTTGAATTTAGTGTGGTTTAAAAATAGCAGAGAATTTCTTTGTTTGCGGGGGTTTTTTGATAGAACCAGGAAATACAAACAATCAAGTAATGGAGAAATCGAAATCGACTGTAGCGACAATCAAACAGAAGGGAAAAAAAAAAGAAGAAAACGAACGAAACCCAAAGTAAATAAATAAAAGAACCAATATCAGTCTTTTTCATATTGGAAGCTTCAATTAGAAAACAGTTTTCTGGTCGTGGGAACCCAATCCCTTTGCGCGATTCCGCTGTTTTAAACGAAAATAAGCTAAACAAGCAAATTCATCAAACGATTTAAAGTGTACCTAATAAAGCCAGTTATCAATGCCTTAAACCACACACTGGATTTCAGCGATTACGTAAACGTCTACGCGAGAGAGAGGAAGGGTCTATTGGTAATTTAGAATCAAAACGCTTCTTATAGTCACAATCACAATACCTATTATTGACGTTATCCCCAAATTAACTTTAAGAAGTGACAACGTCTACGACCCTTAATATAAAAAGAGGTTGGCGCGCGATCCAAGCTATTCTTGTGGATTGAGTTCTCGTCATCTTCAATAAGAATTTATTGTCTAATTTTAGTATCGGATTGTACGAGGCGTTCTTTTTCGACACAGGGTTTCTACATCCCTTGCGCTATTTCTGTTCTTTCTTGTGGGATTGTAGCAATGACCCATTCCAGTACCCTGTTACTATTCTGAGAACAGTAGTAACGGTCCACTGCAGAATCCTTATCTTTGTACCCGAGATGAAGCGATGTCATCTAATGTTTAATGGAATTAAAGTTTAAAGATTCAAGTCATCCTTTGGGGATGAACCTAATTTATTATAATACTGTAATAACGATTATAAAAGTCAACTGACTTTGTTCAATGCCTCAAAAACACGAAATACAATGTTAAGACTCTAGACACGTAAACTTTAAAGCGCATCCTTCCATATCAACCCTAAAACTTACATTCGATTTCATTTTGTACTTTAAAGATGACTGGCAAACAAGCTTAATTCTCAACGCCAAACACCCGAGTCCGATCTTAAACGAAAAACTGGGATGATATGCCATTTGGGAAGACCGGCTCTATTAATCGTGCACCCAACTGTTACATGAGACACTTTAATTCCATCGCTGGAAAGTTTAGTGGCAAATGTACTGTTTAAGCTCACGCAATTTATCAGATTCATTTTCCTGTCGCTTCGTCTATGCATAACAATGCTTACAGCTGACCGGCCACAAAACGCTTAAATAAAATAGCTTTCCAATCAATACCAAAAAGTGTTTGCTCGGGGTGGGTTTTTGTGCCAAAGGCAAAACCAGTTTATACTGTTTTACATACATCATTTATCATGGATACAAAGTTTTATACATGATTTGGAATAACATCTTCCAGAATTAAGAAAATACTTGCAAGTAGGCGGAGATTTCAACAGGATAATGACCTGAAGCGTACAGTATAAGCCGGGTATAACCAAGGAGTTTTTTTTAAAAGAAAACTTCCCTGATACTGAGGTTTTCTAATAATCCAGACCTTAATCCTATTGGAAATCTGTGGGCAATTGTTAAACGTTGTGTATGCCAAGTAAGATTTCTGAGTTCGACAGCAATATATGATGGAGGAGTGGGAAATTATTCCCAATGAATTTTTTGACTAACCTTATTTCGTCAATGCATGACTGTTTGTTTGTCAGCAAGTAATAGACAGACAATATAATGGTGAACGAATTAATTATTAATGAAGTATGTTTCTTTTATACTGGTAAAAAAGTCTTGCTTTGCAAGCCATCACACGTTAAAATTGAAGCAGTTTCTATAAAGCTATTGTAAAAAAAAACAACAAGTGGCCTATTTTTTTTTAACACACCGTAACAAATAAAGATGTTATTGCTTGAATATAAATTAAAGAAGAAAAAGTGAATGTCAAAGATCTATTCTGAAGATGGATGCGTTATTCATCATTTTTTCTTCTTTTAAGAAAGAAAGGGACGGGAAATCAACTGTCAGAAATGAACGTCTTCCCCCATTATCCTGCATTTTCCCAGCGTCTCACATACTTCTTAAAGAGGAATGTATTGTCAACGTCTCACCTCGCTTTATAGCCAGAAGATACGGGCAGTTGGCATTCATAGCCTCACAAACCTTGAAAGAGCTTGTTGAAGTATATATTTTTACCAATGAGAAATGCTAAAAGTTCTCTGATCTGAAAAATAGCTGAAACGGCCGAGAAATTTTTACTGTAATGGCTGATAGTCCATATGCATAGTTTATTTGAAACATAAAGTATTATGATTAAACTTTTTTTTTTTTAGCCGTCCTACGTGATCGTTCGGCAACGCAACGAGAACGTGTCAAGTGTCAACGGGATTTCTTGCTGGATGTAAATTGAAGTCTGTTCTCGTAGAACGAAATTATCTAATGATAACGCGCGTCGCAATGAGAAGAGATAACTAGAAGTGGTTGTGTTAGAATATACTGATAGAAAAACCTACTTACCTTTTGCGGGCATTTAGCATTAACTAATTTTGCTGAATGAGCAGTCGTATGACCATTCACCCTGTAAAGCAAAAGTCATTGGTAAAGCGTGAATATGAATAAACAGTTTAAACCATAAAGCGATAATAGCATTGCATAAAGAAATGAGTGCCGACTAATCCTGAAACTTTCGCCGTAAAAATACTATCCAGCTTACAGCACTCGAATACACGCACCAGTTCAAATACACCATCAACTGCCCATCCTCGGCCATCTGTACAGTTTGTACTTCTTTGATATGCGGTTCCCAGCTACCAGCAATTTCTGCCGGACAAAATTCTTCGTCGTCCTGTTCGGACGATGACTGCTCAATCACCATTTGATTGTCGTCAACGAAACTGCTCTTGTTTTTTGAGCTAGACGTATCTACTCGGCGTTTTTTTAGTTGGCGATTATCGTTTGTATCATCACTGTATTTATCGTTATCTCCTTCTTTTTCATTCTCCTCCTCTTCCTCCTCCTCTTCCTCTTCCCCCACCTTTTTTCCCTCATACTTTTCACCCAAGTCCTCATCTTTGTCTTCTTCCTCATCCTCATTTTCCGTCTCTGATCGAGCGACACTTAAAGTTCTATTAGTATGGGACCTTGAAACTTGCTTATTTGTTTTCGAATTTTTCGCTAATTTACTTGACGAAGATTGTTTTGAACTTCGAGAAGTTGGCTTTGATGCCGGTATATCGTCCTCATCGCTCTCTTCTTTACCACGCAAGTTACGTGAATTCGTGCGCTTATCACTTTTGCGAGATGACTGATTCTTGACGGACTTTTTTGACTTTGCTGGCGGTGATTTGGTAGGTTGTCTTGTTGGGTCTTGTTTCACAAGTTCTTCTTTTGAATCCCAGTACTTGCCTAATAATGATTCACAGTAGCTAAAAAGAGTCGCAATGTTAGCATCATTTAAGGTCGATTGCCATTACCGAGAAAAAAAAATTTTATGGAAAAGAAAAACGTACACATTATCACGATATTCCCATGTATTTTGTTCGGTTGGATAACCTAGGTAAACAAGCGCAGAAAGTGATTATTCGAAATATAATACTACAAACAACAAACATGACACACACACACATGGATTGATTTTCGCTTTTACCTTTCCATTTAATAAGATACTGAATTCTTCCCTACTCCAAGACAGAACAGCAAGAAAACAAAATTTACAACCATATCCAAGATCACAGATTACTCACCCCTCCTTCCCACAATTTCTCCATACTACTTGTTTACTACTACTCCTGTGTACCGCTATGAACTAGTACATAACAATAAACTATTTATCACTTTGCGAATAATCACATTTCTCTTTGACATGACACACACCCCAACCCATCAAATGTCAGTTCTTCACCTTTTTTAGACGATGTCCAACAACAGCTTCAACCTCATACACTAAATTACTATGCTCACTCCCATCTCCCGACTGCTCGTCCTGTTTGCCTCGCATTTGTGGCCCCCCAATATCCTCGGCGTATTCGTCAGTCACCATCTTTTCTTCTTCGTTCGGTTGAGCACCGTTGGTGGATTCGAAATCGCCATTTCGCTGAGAGTTTTCGTTCATTCTGTCATCGTCGTCGTCGGCTAATTCGTCGATTTCCTCGCTCTGTATTGCGGCTTCATCGACACTGCTTGACGTATCGATCATTTTATCAGCATCGAGGCGTTTGTCCGTCATTATGTTTATCTCTTATCCGTAGATCAGGTGCTCAGCATAACTTGGGTATAAAATGAATGCAGATTGAACGCGGTATGTTAGGTTTTAATCATTTGCCCCAGATGGTGTTACAGCAGTCAATATCGGGTATGTATGCTACACAAAATCTGATTTGATCTTGTGATCAAACATTCAAAAAGTCGTTTGTTTCATTATGTTCAAATTGATGTGAATTAACATGCTTGAATGATCCTGTGCAGAAAAGAACAGACGGTGTTATATCGGTAATTTAATACTATTATTTCATAAATTTTGACAACACATCTGATCAATAAATTTTGTCATTACTAGGCACTTCATAAGCTATTAAAATGGCGGCAAAGATAAGCTTCTACTATATTTTATGTCAAAGAAGACCTGGTTAAACTTTACTTTGTGTTGTACCCCAAAATTCATAAAGTCATTGCTTTCGCTTCCTCTTTGATATAATTTTTGCATAATAATTATATTATAAATTGACGTGTTGCTTATGCATTATAAACAATTTTAATACCGGCTGTCTGGTTAAATTATTCCTGAGAGAGTTAAAACAACTATTGAGATATCTTACATATGACTCGAGACAATGGTTGTGTCCCACTGATAAATATTCATTTTACATACCCTGATTTCGGGCCTATTTTATTGAAATGACAGATTGTTCCATAACTAACTGAACAATCCGAATAAATTAACGCATTAATGGTGTCGAAGGACGTTTACGGAAACTATACCAATTTTTGACATTAACGCTAAACTTGGATGATGAATTTTTGCAAAGTTGATGTTATAGTTTTTATCACTCAAAAAATAAAGTTAAAAGAAAAATGCGAGAAATGCAATGATATTGCTGATTACTGCGCAGATAAGACACTTTTCATATTCGCATTTACATACGTCGTCGGTTTTTATTGCGTTTTAAAGGATACATAATTGGCTGTCTATAATGTAAAGTAAATTTTGTATGACATTTAGAAGACACGTAGATACATCAAAAATTTCCTTTTTATTGATTACTTAAATTCTCGGAGATTGTATAACTTTCTGTATAAATAATATTTTACAGAAAACTTTATTATTCAAATAATACGGACATATTACTCTTCTTGCTATATATCGACATTTTGATCGTTTGCCGAGAAAGCACTGACCGTCGTCACGTTTACATAGACGACATCCCAATATAGACCCAGTAGACGATCTTGCGTATATAAAACTTGCTGCATGGTATGGTTCCATATCATTGAACTTAATAGTGGATTGCTATTTCTAGACTGTGCGGTCGAATGTTTATTAGGATGATACAACACTTTTGTTATGACACCTGGATGTTATTGGAAAAGAATTTTCAGACCACCCCTGTATTTGGAGTTGAACAAGGTATGTGACTAGATTTTATTACTTTCTTTATTCAAATTTTTTATAAAAAAAGAGTCAGCGTTATAAACGTAGGTTTTAGGTGTTTTCTGCTTGCAGCAATTTAAATCTTGCAAACTTAAAATTTGCAGTTTTACATTTATGGGTTATTGAAGGCGACATATCAATTATTAAATAATTCCTAACCCTTATTGTCATTCTTTACGTGCATTTTTTGTGGTATTTTTATCACAATTAATCATGTTTTGTTTTATTGCTCTCATCCGTACATACGGCGTGCTCGTTCGTGTTTAGATCAACGCATCTCCGCCCAGTTTAACAAACTGCGATAGTCTGCTTATTGATCTCTGAAATCTGTGTCTCTACATTTCTCAATTCAGTTTCGGCCGGAGGAAGGGCGCTGCGAGCTTCATGTTATCAATACGTAACACAAAAAATTATGCAGTAGACTGTACCTTTTGGATTGCCCGGGTGATGATATAGACTGTGATTCTCCACTCCATTGCTCAAGAATATTCTTCAAAACGGATTGCATGCAGAATAAGGTCCTTTTCATTTTTTTATTCCCACTTCCATTTTTAGACAGAAACAGAATGAAATGAGTACGCCGATTTTCCCTTATTCTCAATGCAGTAAATAAATCATCGACAATCTAAGCTAATCCTGACATTTGGAATATTTGAATAACTCACGCGCGATAGTTAAGCTCCTACTCAAAGACAAATCTCTGGGACAGTTGTTTGGTATCCATGCTGACGGCTATAACAGCGCACAATATTGGACCCACTATTGAAACTATCCTTCAGCATCTTAATAACATCTTCCGAATGTGTCCTAGCTATCATCATCATCAACATACTTCTAATACGCAAGTTTGTATGCACAAAACATATAACAAACTCTTTTCTTTTTTTATCCTCATCTTCTTCGTCCCCCGTATCGTCTACATTAGCTTCACCATTACGTGAACGTTAACGTGATCTCTCATTATTATAGTGATCTTTGCATTTATATACCATCCCGGAGTTCGGCTGTGCGTCCTGAAGTGTTTGAGAGAACAATAAAAGTTTGGCAAAGCACGTAAACAAAGATAGCTTGTTAGAAAGGACATACATTCAACAGTGGAAAAATAGTGAATGGAGGCAAGTAAATGTAAATGTAATAAGGTATACATATCAGGATGTAATCACATACTTTTCGTCTTGGATGTTTGTTTAATTGTTTCGCATTTGTAGATATATTCTTAGTAACAATATTATTAAAATCTTTTCCGGGGGTAAAATCCAGGATCGTTTATTGATAAGAGCGGAATCAAGAGTTTTTTTTTGGACTTCATTATCGCTATTATAATCATGATCATAGTCATGTATTTGGGAGAGATTATTATTGTCTCGGAAGGAATTATTCTCATAATTTCATGACAACCAACTTACTTACATTTAAATAAAAATTAAATACATAATTTGTATCAACCACCTTGCTAGTATTGATGCTCACTGCCGCGCTCAAAATGATGGACAATTTCTCCAGTAGATATTGATTTTAACTGTCCTAATGAATAAAATAAAGAACAAAACAAATTAAAAATCCCAAAAGTGCCCGTAGGCGCATTCTAGCACTTTCGGGCGGGTAATGTAGTAACAAATTGAATCACAAAGAAGATATGCCTATTCAGACGTATCCTGAAGGCCCGATAGACATATCCATCGGCTGTCCAGACGCATCCTGGGTTCTTCATGTTTGAGACAAAACAAAGTTTTAAACTTTATAGCTTTTTTCGCTAACGTTCAAGCTGTTTGACAATCACGGGGTTCTAGTTTCGGATCTCTCATAATTGCTCCTAAACATGTCCTGTAGGTACAATGTTCTGTATCTTTATTTCCGAAATCGATGGTACAGAACATACTCTAACTAAAGAAACTT